CACAGAACTACTAAACAACGAAATGTGCATTAATTGTAAAGAGTGCGTCTGTAGGTAAGTTGAAAGTGAAAAAGATAGAAAGGTTCATCAATGGACAAAATAGACTCTGCCTGCATGGAAGTGGACAAGCCAAGATTACAGAATTTAGTAGTAGGAAAGATTTAACAAATCAATCAGAGAGCACAACATTTGCATATAAAAATAACAGCGAAGAAATCGGAAATTTATCGAATTTTATCAATATATGTACATATTGAAATATAGGGAAGGTGATCACTGTTGCGACAGGATTATTTAAGACGAGATAGTACAGCTTTCATGATACAGAAGTGGTTGTTTGTGTGTTCAACGATAATACACTGGGCGGGCAACGTGGCTTCCACGGTCGGTCAAAGCAGCGATTAGGTCATCGAGGGTCAATGTGACCTTACGCTCCGCAGGCTTCCGAGAAGATGGGGCGGCATGTTTTGTAGGTGGGAGAGAGAAGAAAAGGAGCGGAGTGTGAAAAGAAATAATCCAGGTGGTTGCCGCATCTCAGAAGACGGGAGCGAGCTGGTTACTTAACCTGAGGAACCGAAACGACATTGATCAAGGTGGGGATCAAGTTGATAATGCACCTCCGTAGGAAGCCGACAGAGAACCAATTGGAAAGGAAATTGTAATTGTGGTCGAGAAAATACGATCAATAAGTATGTGAAGATATGACCCTAGTACCAGTGCCAGGTGATGTGTTGAATGGCGGGCTGGGGATATCGAGTAAGTGTTCAGGAAGCCCGTCCAGAGCACCCTACGAAGCCAGCCCTCTAGCTAGCAGCCCGGAGCAGATGGGCTCCACGCCGCCTGAAGCTAACGGGCTAGCCAATGAAATTCAGCCAATGGAATAGTTGTGCCTTGAAGTGGACCAATTAGAATGGCCTATCTTGAAGTCCTCCAGTGAACTCAGTACCTGAACAGCCAACGAGCAATTTTTCGCTCATCTACAGTAGTTGCTAGAGTCTAGAAAGTTCAAGCAGGTCATTCTTTCATGACGTATTTGTTCTAACCACATGTTTTGGCTGCGCATACTGTTTTCCGGGGTGCTCCATAAAAGTATTGCCAGCGAGTCTTCATCTTTTGATCTGAGAAGTGGCCGAACCGGGATCCGAGCAGCTGTATCGGTTATTCGTACTGTCAGCGGAAACACAATTATAGATGGGCCCACTGTCAACAGTGTAGAAATGTGACGTGAAGGCGCTCCGCTACTACGCGGACATAACCACGACTAAGGGTACTGTAGGGTTACCTGCGCCCATGCAGAATCCAACCTTTGACCAGTGTATTACAAACCAGACAACTTATTCACAAGACGACTTGTACATGAAGACCAGTCACGGTTTGCCTTTTATGCATTCTAATTGTCTGAGGAAAAAATCCAGGGCAGTAGTGGGTGAAAAAGATTGGCAGCCATAAGCGAGCAAAAATAGGATTCATTTCTTTCCAGTTAAAAGCAGAAACGGTAGTTAGTAAGATACATGTAACCAAAGCAAGATGCAGAATAAAAGTACTCATGACCTGTCTTCTCTTCACTCTTAGGTAAAATAGGAAGTCTCGGAGTTGAGTGACAGCGTGAAATACCGAGGTAATGTTATAGAAAATGAAACATGGACTTGAGGATTGGAATCGCAGATGCTGACAAATTGATTATGTAGTTCAAATGGAGGAGAACTAAGCCGTTCTTACAAAATGCTGGCAAGTATATTGGCTGATCGGAAGAATGACCACAGTGTGTATGAGTATAATTTTAATAAACTAGGATGAAATAATACTCGCAGCCGTCTTGAAAATGCGAATATCAAGTTGGCTAGTATAGTCTTTAGATGCAGTCGTTAGGACGACAAATGGGCACGGAGGTCACAAAGGGGCGATCGGAATCTGTATTTTGACCGGTCCAAATCACGTGAGATATTAGCGAGATGCGCGAAAAATGAATATTGAATAAACGTTCATTGGAAGACACCGGAAAGTGGCTAAGTGCATTTCAATTGTGGAACTAGGCAAACAAGTCAATGTATTCGCCTAGCAACTGGGCAAGCTGTGCACATTTTCAAGGTCACATAAAGGGAGCAATTAAAACAGAATGAGACACGATGCCACTCAAATCAGGATCTGAAGTCGTCGAGTGCACGGGCTTCGATAGAGTACCGGTAGTGGCATTAGTCGTTGTGGGAATGGAAGGCGTACCGGGATTTGGCACGACCGGCTGAAGACAAGTTGAAAGCCGACTGGACAGAAGCCCAGCAGACATACCATTCGAGATTCGCCAATGATTCATCGCATCGGTGATTACATCAGACCAAAACTTTTGTCCAGCTAAGCTCACAAGCCGAGCCAATCGGATGTCACCGTGTTGAATCTGAACACCGACGCCATCCATGATGGATACTGATATTCTATCCGGAAGCTACCGCAACACAAAAAGAATTATATGAAGAGTCACGTGAGCAGAATGAAAAATCTGTTCCAAACAACGTTATATCAACCAACAGTTAGCTCATTTGAGTGGAGTAATAGAGTTTAAAACAAGGATAACAGCGATCTGCATACGCTTGACATCATCAAACCAGTTTGGTTCATAGGATACCTTTCTCTACTGGATGATGACCCTCAGCCGTTTCCTTTCTCTCCTCAACAACGATTATCTCAAGGTCAGTTTGTTCTTGGAATGTAGCTTCTATAGTTGTTTTCCACCAGAACCTTTTGAGTAATCACAAGACGTCATTTTTGCGGCCTCCAGCGATTTCGTTTTTGACTACTATATCTTCTTCGCGATCACCGGCCTTGTATCAAAGTTTAGAGTTATTTAGGGCGCTGTTGCTTCTGGGAACTTTATCGACACCTTTCAGTTCCCATAACCACGATTTTCTGTCATGGATGTTGCAGCTTTTGCTATTACTCATTTCTGTAATTCACCGAACCAATCACTAGAGTGGGACTCATATTTCGACAAACCGGAAATTCCATTCAAGCAGTAGACAATGTGAGGAATTTCATGGGTAATTCGTCAAAGTTACGCTTAGTCTGAAGTCATCACAGATCCGGAGAAACAGTTGATGGGACGCGTTGATTAGTTTCATTTTCATTGAACCGATCTGGGTTCATAGATATGACATTACCCTTTCGAGAGTATTTTTGATTTCTTTGGAAAAGTTTAGCGCTTATCTCTCATTTAACGATATTTAACATGGTCTCACAGGATGTTCGGTTGTTAGACTCCCACTGGATTCTACAAGACTGCTTGTCGACTCTGACTCTTCAAAGGACCTGTTGCACTTCTGCTTGCTTTAAAAATGTGTGGTACCGTGTCTGCGTCAAGTTGCTTAGCATCTTTTTTGACATAGTGGATCGCTTCGTTCAAGAAGCCTGCTCATTATCACAGGAACTAGATGTAAATCAGTACTGCTCATCGTGCTTCTTCATCAAGCTACGGTAAGCGGTCGTCAGCTGTTTGCAATACTGTGTGTTGGTGCTGAGACTCATGCAGGAGCAAGGGCTCAAACCTAGGATGAAGAAAGGTTGAGCCAAACAGCTGAACCACGCACCAATGATCGCTAATGTTTAGACACACTTGCACTCTTACACCGATGGAAATTCGGGATGCCTTTCTTCTGTGCACTCTACTACTCATGACCCTGTGTTGCCAGAACTTGTTTGGGCTCGCATTGTTTTTACTTGGTGACTTTTGAGTGAAACCGATACTGAGCGTTTGCATCGCTTGTGGCGATGAACCATGCATGTGTTTTTTAGCCATTCGTTAGGCTGTTGCGTTTATCCCTTCCGCGTCTTTATGTATGTTTTGATCGGTGACACAAAAGTATCCGAACTCACTTCACACTCGTTCTTTCTTTCAGCGATTGACATTGCCATTTCTGGAACTCCTGGGAAAAGCCATCCATGATTGGTCATGTTTGTACTTTGTTAAGATCTCATCCTCTATTTTATATAAAATACATTGATCTTACCAGCGAACTAGTTTTTACCTGTTCGCTATGGGGAACCATTGGGCACTCTACGTGTCTTTTTGCTTGTAGACATTTGCATACAATCTGCTCAGTTGATTTCCATCTCACCTCTTTGGGGTACTAATTAGTTCGGACGGACGTTTATGATTCCAACCTACCGAAGCTCCATAAACACATTTAGCCGAATATATTGGAATGTTCGGTGAACCTACACACCACCAGCATTCGAGCTGTGATTTACTGTGCCCTTCTTCGACGGTTTATCACTTCCACACGCACGTGGACCCATTCAAGTCTCTAACCGGTGCTGTTTCCATAGCGGAGCGATATCAACATTTTTGTTGATATCGTTAAAGGATCGAGGAGTACATCGATTCGTCGAGCTCTTATCCTTCCGTTACCGGACACGATTTCCTCTAATCCAGTAAATGAGAAAATGTTGACAATCATCCGTTGATCACACTAAAGGCGTCTCTCAATTGTTATAATCTCTCCTTTTCTTTAGTCCTTTTGTTCTTGCTGCCTAACGGTCCGCGCAGGTTCTTGGCTATCTCAAGCAAACTGCTGTTAAACTGCGTCCGTAATTTACAATAGTCTGGGAATTTCTCACTCTATAAAATGTACTTAACACCAAGTACTTTTAGAACGCTGATGGGACATGCAACTTTTCAGTTTGATCAACGGCTTTACCTTCTAGCATTATTCTGCCGCTTTTGCTCGGTATATACTGCTGGTATCTCCACACGACTGGCAAAATGATGGTCTCCAACCTTTACACCCATTTTCCCTTTGTCCCATACTTGATCATGCGCAACGTTTCGGATTTATTCACCAGCTCTACTCTATATCCGTGTTGAGTCTCCCTTCACTCTACCAGAATTTTTGGTCTCAAAACGCGATACGAATGTGTAAATAGAGTTTATGACATGTGTTGCGGATAACCGCGTTTGTAGTAAACATGATTTGTTAAAGTACCACACTTCATGATCATGCATGCCGCACTTTCGTCTGTACCATATCCGCCTTCAGTTGGCACATTGTACACAACGGACAGCATGTGGTGGCGCACACATCCTTCAACAGGGAGCCCTGAAAGGAATAATGCTTTGTCGATTACATACCTTACATGCGGTACATGCATATGGCAAGCACCGAACTGTTCCACCAGATGTGTCCGCCCCCTGATTGGGTTCACCCTGATCAGTGTTCACCAATTGAAGTTCATTCTTTGAAGACTAGACGAGTGACCCTGTGTGTTCAAACTAATGCTTCTCTGATTCACTCGCTTTGCTAACACGAATTTCTTTCGTGTCTTGGTCTGAGTAATGCTGTCGCTGGTGTGACTGAGCTTCGGTGCATACTTCGTTTTACCCCTGGTCTGCATTAACTCATCACCGTAATCTTCTTAAGTAAAGGCTTATTGAACAGTACCCAAGAGTGTGCTAAATGGAGTGTTGACGCCAGAAATTTGTCCACATCAGCTTGTGCTCATTTCATGCTTGGTTGTCTTCGGAACTACCACTGTTCACTTTCCGCCAACCTGAGATAGTCCACTATATTTTTATTGACTGTACGGGTAACGGACTCGTTGCTGCGAATCCTGAACCACTCACTTCAACAAGGCAGTGGTAAAATCTTCGTTTTAAATCTCAGAGAACGCGGTGTTATGTACTGAATGGTATTTTATTGTTTAGCAAAACAATGGCACCAGTGATGTTCCCTGCTTCTAGAAACTCCCAGCTCCGCAAGCGCTCTAGTTAGCTAGCTGGTAGTCAGAAGCACTCTCATTGTTGGGCCCCTGGCCAATGTGCTTAGCTTGAGTCTGCTGGCGTTGAGCCAGACTTGGAGGGCCCCTATGTTATGTCTCTTATAAACTATGTTCTAAGGCATGCATATCAACCATTAACCTATTTTGATCGAATGATCCCTTAGTACAATCGACTCTATCCTTTCCTCGTTGTTTACTGCTTATATATTGCGTCTCTGTTACCCCCGCGTTTTCATGAGTAGGCGTTTGTGGCTGGTAACATCATTGGTTTAGCAACTCGGTGCCACTGTTCATTCAATCTAAACCCGGCTCCCTGCTAGTGAGCGCGCGATATTCGGTCCAAGCACCTTCTTAAATGACTTTTCCTCTTATGCTCAAAGTTTTTCATATCTTCTGCAGGTACATTGTTTAACCCTGGCGTAAATTGATACATCTGAGTGCCACCTACTGCCCGTTTCGCTTTGGACTCAAATTCACATATCTGCCCCACGCTTTTAATATAAGCCCCCTAGAATATCGCTTTTGTCGTCTACCGTCCAAACTGCACATGCATATTCTGTTATCTGAATGAGTTTTGCTTTAGCGTGTGATAAGTTTAACCGCTCTTGCAACTAATACTTTCCTTCTATGAGACTGTTGTACACCTACTTCAAAGACTTTCTTGAAAGCTAAGCATTTTCGATGCCCGGCTTCTCTTTGCTGGAGTTTGTTTGCCTCTTAGCGTTCGGTTTCCAATAGTCCTTTCCATGCCACCTACCTATCATTGCATACGTCATTATGTTTTCTCAAACTGTAATAATCCATCCGTAGTTACTGTCATCATACTCGATACTTACTAGTATGATCCGTCCATATTCTCCTTACCTCGACGGTGAACGGGACATTTCGACTGCACACAAAGCATATCTGTTCACTCACCTTGATGTGATGCTTAAATCGGTGCTTCACCCGTAGCAGCACTGGTCCTGCTCCCAGCAGCGGCAGACCACAGGCCTCGTCAGAGTATTTGTATAGGTGGCACAAGTAACACAGCGGACAGCAGGTGACCAGGAAACCTGAAATTTGGAACAAACCGTCTAAATTTATACTCTTATATTTTCGTCTCTTCGCGGGGTTATACGATGAAACGGATTTCATGTACATAAGCATATCAGGTACAGGTCATATGTTCAACGATCCGAACAAATACTAAGTTGCTTTTCTCCGTAGATTGTGATGCTAACTACACCCAATGGTTTTCTGAGGAGCGAGGCTTCTCAGGGAGCAATTTGTACTAGTTTAGCGTGGTCTACCTGATAACTTACGTTGAGACAGTCTAATCGCTTGGCGCACAGATCGCACATGGATGCACCGATCAAAGTTGTTAAACTGAACTACCCACATGACACTGTTCTTCATTCTCCTTTTTTCTTTTTACGAATGTCATATTTATTGCCAGTACTCCACGATTTACTCCATCAGTAACATTAACAAGAAACTCGGATCATCTTTCAAACCCAGGGTACCGTTTCACATTGCGTCTTTCAATCTCCATACGCTATCAGATCAGTCAAGAAGTGCCTCGTCGGGATTAATGTATTCTATCTTCGAACTGCACACAGAACGGCAGTGTACTACTGCGTCCGCGCTTACCAAATGTGGTCTCCAACATCGGGCTTTAAGCACATAAGTTATCCAGCGATACCGGGTTAGTGAGTTGCGACATTTACAGGGTCGGTCATCCTCAGAAAACATGCCGAAGATGCTCTTCTTTAGTAGATCCTATTGAATAGCCGCGTATGTGCCATTTAGTTTTGGAGCAGAATTGCGTTTATTAAGCATAGATTGAAGGCATGCTGTTCAGTTTTTTGTGATGTTCGCCGAGCTGGGCAACTTGCTTGCGGACGTTTCGTCACCATTCGAAGTGACTTCATCAGTGCAGGTTTGATAGCGGTCATGTAGCAGGAGCTGGTAGAAGGCAAACTCAGGCTGTATCGCTGTCATATTATTTCCACGGACTATTGCACGGAAGCTGTCAGTGTCCAGTTATATCGGCGTCTCCCGAAATTAGAAGGAATGAAGATGCGGATACCGCGGTTGTTGAAAATGACATGAATACTTAAGTCGGTCGCCTATCATCATTTTGGTGACTTTTTCAGGGTCACCGCATATTTTATTGACAATGTTGGCCCCGCACTTCAACTGTGCGCTGCTCTAAACTGGACGGGTTTTCAGAAGGAATGATCTCATCGAGTTACATGGGGACCATTGAACGAGACTACTCTAGACTCATCTCTATTACTTCACCATAGACTATGGGTGACGCACGTTAGTACATAGCCATCTATCGATCTGTAGCACTTGCCTCGATTCTGACCATGTTCTGGTACCTGCAGGCCTATTGCTCACTCTTCCAGCCCCAACTAATTTCCCAATTTCCTATACACTAGCTGGTGAACTATATTCGCAATCAGCAGATCGAAATGCCTGTCTGATTTGTTACATAAACTGCCACTAACGAGCAAGGTGGACGAATTGAATGCGGGCCGAGATCTTAACATGGATATTTAGGAGTACTAGTTCAACAGCTAATAAAGATAGCCACTTCACACTCTGTCACTTCGAGTCTAAAATCGAGCCGAGCAATCGGAAGAGCAGTTCTCCTCCTCAGGGCCTCATAATTGTTGGTTTGATCCTTCGAATCCTGTTGGGACGTTTATGTAATAGCTCTTACGTTCGACGAAACCGGATACTTGCTGGCGCTTCTGGGACGCAGCAGGACATTTCGACCGGTAGACCTTCCATCTGCCATGCTGAATAATAGTGGTGGCTCGCTAATGATTGTCTTAGTTGCTCTGGTAAATACCGTTTGGAGCAAAGTGAAGGTGTCCTCTGATTGGAGGTGGTTAATTGTCATCCCTATGTTTCCTAAAGACCAAAGGATGAGATGTGCTGTCATCTTCATCTCAATCGTCGCCAATCTGCTGACATGCAATATGATGGTGTGATTCACTTATAATCTTGAGTACAACTCAGGCTAAATTATGCCCCAGTAGATGATATGTCGATCCTACTTCTACTCTACCATATTTTCGAAGAACACTCTACTCACGGACAGTCTGTGATAGCAACGTTTTTTTAACTTACATGCTGCTTTTGATTCTGTCGGTCGTCCCTTTTTGTGGCAGTTTCTAGCTTCTAATGGGTTCATGAAAACACCCTTTTCTCAGAAGTTTTCTGTTCGGCGACATCTGGTAGAGTGGGGGACGTTTCGTTTTGCTCTCCGTCGATTTCACCAGGTTAAATAGAATGCGTCAAAACTGCTCTATATTTTCCTTTTCCCGACGTGTTGTCGAAACGTTCCTGCTTGCTTCTCTCCTGCCTTCTACTCCTTCCGAGTTACACATTATGTTTGCTGATTGACTATCAAATCTAGCGTATATGGATAACTTAACCATCTATTCAAGCGTTATTTGGATAGGCTAACGGATTACATTGCACATCTTGACATGTAGTTTTCTCGTTCGAATGGCAAAGTACTCTTGCTGGATTGAGCAGACTCGTCACCATTTTTCATAATTATCGAATAGCCGCAGGAATTTGTCGATCAGTTGACTTATATGCTCCCGTCACTGAGATTGTCGCAAGCATTACTAGGGTTCGTGTGGCTCTCGCAAGTCTCGATCACTTATATGGATGAGCGGATTTAACCCCATTGCTTAAGAAAGAGATCTGCGGCCCTGCAGTGTTACCGTATGCATTGATAACCTGTGCGTTACGCATTGGAGGCATTAGCAAACTGACCGTGTTTGACCATCGGTCCTTTCGAAGCATTGCTCATATCAGCTGTGAGAATCGTGGAGTGTACCACAAATGTTCATTGGTTAGCGACAGAACCTCAGGTGTCTCACTTGAGTGCTTGTTAAAGTCGAGTGGCCTCTGCTGGCTCGATCGTGTACTCCGCATGCCCGCGAGTCGACCATCTCGGTGCGTATAGTTCACGAATGTTATCTACTTTATGAAACCAGGGGTGTCTCAAATCGTTGGGATACAAAAGCACATGTAGAAACTAACGGAATAGCTGCTTGTGCTTGTTATTGTCCCATATTGAATTGACGTGACCGACCACAGTAATAATTGAACGCTCCATCGGATTTAGCGCGGGCCCTAATTCGGTAATACTCGCATTCGTTCCCTCACTTTTCCTACACATTATTATTCCATCTATTGACTTCAATCCTTGTCCATTCCTACTGTTATTAGTGCCATTATTCTGGCGACTTGACTAGAGACAACTAACAGCACCTCGGTGCATGGATCTTAGCTAATGGAAAAAGGATCCAAATCATGGGTGGAGTTTTGTGCATGCATGATGCACTGCTCTCATTAGTGAGATTGCGTCCCTTTCTTATTCTTAATTTTGGTGGCTCCGTCCCCTGGCCGTTATGAAGGATCAGTCAGGTTACCCACTGATTTGAACACTCGTTACTCAGCTTTGTGACACTTAATGAGCACATCCCCATGATTCCTTATGTGCAATGACAGGAATGCATTATCGTGATCAACGTCCGCGACCAATGCCACTTGCGTTCGCTTTGTTGTCTATTGAAGAAGTGCTTTGCCAAACCAGTGTGGCAGATGCAATACTTCGACTAGAGAAGCTCGTATCTGTTTGCACGGTGAGTGCCCAACCTTTATCACTAGTCAGCCAGTGGCATCCCAACCAAAACTGTTCAATCCAATTAGGTTCGTTTCATTTCTTGTGTCCATTCCAATCTCACTGATTTGATTGCCTGATAGTCGCCAACGCCATCCGAACTGTCCGGCACTTTCAGTGCTGAAGTTGCTTAAACACCCACACACACGGTCCAGCACGTCTGGCCATCGTTTATTCTCCAACTTTGTTTTGGTTATGCCACTGATATTCGACGACAATTCCACACTGACCTCTTGGATATGGGTATACAGCCTTCATTGGCTAGATTTCAGTTAGCGCATCTTCCACCTGCCCAGTTCAGCGTGGCTATGAACATTATGCCTGATTTTGGGAACAGCTAGAGCCTCCAGCTGATGAAACAGGAGAATCTTGAAATGATAAAATGAAACGTTGAGCCGCTTTGTTAATTATATCCTGTTGGATCTAGTCGCAATGGATCAGCTGTCGGAGGACACACAAGGTTTTATGCGGATGAGAACGGTTGATTCCTTTTAATTAGGTCCATTGATTCTGACTGGTAGATCTAGCCTCCGGCCTCCAAGTCTTTCCGGTTCTTTTTATCATTATGCCCTTTGAGTTCACTTGCTTGTCTTAGCCCATCATGGTTGGATGTGCCAACGCAACTTTGTCTCCCCGCTTCACTACTTGGAGCGCTGTGGATAGATCACATTGATCCGAATTTTTCTGCTGACACTACGTTTACGAAAAATTTGTTACTCCGATAATACCGCGTCAGTCCACTGCAGACTTAGCGTCTAAACTACTGACACCTAAGTGACTTTTGTCTCATTACTGGAGGAACCAGGATTTTCCGATATCATCAACTCGTTGCAATTTAGGTGCTTTCAATATCCTTCCATGTATCTCTTCCATGAACATAAGCTACTAATAATTTCACTCACAACGTGGGATATCCGTGCAACAGCCAAAGAGTCCAACTGTCCATTCCCTTTCTTCGGGCGCCTGTAACAAGAGAGCAAGACATATTTCATCACCAGTCACTTAGACACACACATGCATGTTACAATTGCTGACATAGCTACCAGAGAATCATGGGAAGTGTAACCAACTCAGATGGCCTTGATTCCGCCCACCCGGTGGTATTTGTGCGTTGGAATTCTCTGGCACTCGCTGAATTGCCAGCGTCGGTGTACATCAGGTATTTTCTCACATGCATCAAAAAAACACGTTTTGCGAAAGATGGTGAGCTAACAGATCGATTGGACGGGCCAACGACCACTGTATTACAACGGGCTGTTTCCATGGCTTCATCGTTCAGTCAGCAGTTCTGATTCCTGGTTGTGTATGTGACCACCAAGTAGGCTTTACAACGATATATGCCTTTGTGAGTCACTAGAGGATCTAGACCGCAGTTTCGCGCAATACATGCTAATCGATATTAAAAGTAGGTAACCAGAAGACTCTCCAGTGAAACGTCATCGAGCGCACACGCAAAATGGTGTCATTTATTGCTGCGCAATATCAATTGTGCGACTTCCTATTCTAGTGCGATGCTCTCGCGAAATATGTCCTTCATAAAGATGTCTAACAATTTCTTGGATTCTTACACCAATTTTGATTCGGTTCACTCGACGTCCGAACCATATAAGATAAACTATCCGCTTTAGTTCCAGTACCACAAGCTTGTATCGGTACCCACTATTTTGACCACTTTATTTGGCCATTCGCTCCTGAGAAAGCCGATTGAAAGGATAATGTACAGTTGACTGAACCCCGTTCACACTTTTTACCAGTCTATCGTTCCTTGTTTACTTCGAAAAGTATACCTCAGAGACAAATCAATAAGTGTAGGCTGCAGAATAATTGCAAACTGTGCTTCATCTAACCATTCTTACCACGACCCTACATATTTTGCTTACTCAGCAATGCCTGCGTTACAGCCATATCAAGCAATGTGAACTGGGAAAGGAACGCTGACTAAGCCTATCCATCTTATTCACCTTTACCATTCGTTTTTTCCTTACTCCGCTACGCTTCCATTTTGCTTTGGGTAAACGTGTCGGGCGGCAAGGAGGAGCTAACTGAGTCTGCTTACCGCATCTTCATCCCCATTTCCAATATTGTTTTCACTTTTCCTCCTACTCGCATACGTCTAGTGTGCAGTTAAACCAATATATCTGAGTCGGTTGACCAGTGCCAGCCACGTCTACCTCACACAAAACAAAAAATTCTCCACTTATGTTTGCCTTGGCCTATTTGTACAGCTGCGGTGTTAAAAAAGTAATACCTTAATCTTTCACTGCTTCTCTTTAGGACGCCACAATATATAGAAATTTTTAAACCTTCGTTAGATGCTATGTTCCTTAGGTTTGGACTCCAGTTTTTTTTCTTTTGCTTTCCTCACCCTACCATCTCTCTTCATCCTTCACCCAATAAAAACTTGTTGGTGTCCGTACACGGAGCACTCCGTCAGGACACCACCAAATCTTCTGTGCCCATTCGGAGTTTTGTGCTGGACAACCATAAATGATATCAACACGATTTTTATTTCTGCTTAACCTTTGCAGTGTGCTGTGGTTCTTTTAAAAAGAAAAGGCCAATCATGTTTAAATGAACATGTCTCATGTACCCGAGAATATACGCTACTCTTAGTAATACTATTATTACTGGATTGGCGGCATCCGTGTCTGAGTTTGACTGTCACTGGAGCCTCCATGGTGTCGGCCACAACACGCCTGCTCCTACACACCGGACAGGGTGGCGTAAGTTGCACTGTCCACAGTTCTATCCACACACTCAATATCCTATGTAAACCCGAAGGAATAAGACCGGGAGGAATGCGATTAGGAGCCACGTTTCATTAACGGAGATGGTCCACACTCCTTCAGCATTCACAAAAGCATTCTGATCCGTCTATTTAGTGAATCATTTACATCATTGGTAAATAAGGCGGTTGCTGAGCCGTAATTCGCTCCACACTGGATGGAACCACTCTACGAGCCCAGCACGGTCACGAAAACTGTGCACCCCACCCTCCCCTCGGCAATGACTCACTTTCTCTTGGAACCAGTAATCGCGGTGGAGGCTGTTAGCCAGGTGGACACTCTGGCAGCACTCACATTAAATGCAGCCAGACATTGCATATTATTATTATTATTATTATCATCCAGTTGTCGTGTGCGTTCCTCGCGGAAACAAAACTGTCCACAATGAGTCCAACACATCGATGTGAAGGAGTTAGGGTATGCCTTTGTAGGCCTTTGGCATTTCCCTAGCTCTTAAATTAGGCCAGAGTGGACTAGAGAAAATACAGCACAGAACATGGAAAATCCTGTCTAGACTCAGCAACGGGTAACAAAAGCTGTGCTCATCTGTTCTTGTGGGCCCCTCGTTCCTCTCTGTTGCAACCTGCTATTCACATTGCCCATTACCTCAAGCTATCATGCTTTCCATTGTGCACCTGTCTTCCCAGTTCACTCCAACTCACACTACACCCATGTGATTCCCCTCCAAAATTCTACTGTTTTGTGCCATGAGAGCACATCACTATCGGTCAAAATTAATTTGCCCTCACCTAACAGTCACTCTACCCCACTCTTTCATAACCCACATTCTATATGGTTACGTTCCGACTAATTACCGACTAGCTTCTTATCCTTCCCCGTACCCATTGTTCCAGGAGCCTGCTTGGATGAGTGTTTGCCAACTCTGTAAAACGTTGCCTTCATTCTTATACTAAATGCCAGTGCATTGAGGTGGTTTCATTTTTACACTCGCCACCTTGAAGCCTCTGTAGTTGTTTATCGAGCCATTTATTGACTATTATCGTTGGTTTGAGTTAAAAGTGTTGTTGAGATTTGTATTCCTATTTTCCTACCTCCATTCGTTACTGTTTCCCTTTACAGAGTTTGTTACACCACAGTAACAATGCTTCCAGTTTTCTTGTTTCCTTATCATTCGATCTCCATTGTACAGTTTCCATTTATTATGTCTATGGGAGAAATGTGTTTATGCAACCAATGCTCTGGCGATCTTGCTTTCTGAGACGAACATTACAAGCTAAACGAATCTTGCTTTTCCAGCCATTGTGGACTTTTCTTGTGACGCTTATGGTGGCAGTTCGAAGCATTTGCAAGTTCGACTCTTATCTAAGTAACAACGTGACCTCAAGCTTCATTGTTACTTTTATTTGACACTAAATGTGTATGTCCGAGGTTAATGAAAGTATTTTACTCATGATGCCATAGATGTCAGGAGTGCTATGTCACTTTATCTGTCCTACTTCCTTAGCGCTGTTTCCGGACCTGGAGCGCATTCTATTACTTTCCTTCAACGAAACTAGTGGCTGGATAGCTTTCCAATTGGCAGCTGCGTTCGTGTTACATGCTTTACACTGCAGCGTCTTCAAGTGTCTTGCCTACCTAGTTCGGTCACATTTGTTTTGGTTGGAGGTTGATAGTAAGAAGTCGCTACTCACCGTGACAGTTACTAAATTCCACCGTTCCTCAGTGTTTTACCAACGGCTAGAGTATCCTGCTGAACGAAAGGCGCATTTCTTCATGCGAGCACAACTTCTACTATTGTTGCAATCCCCTCAGCCTTCCTTTGTTAATTTTTGCGGTTTGTACCACTTCATGAAAATAGGTGACTTCCTTCACCTCCGTTTGAATTGGATCTCTAGCTGGTCGAATCAAAGCATGACATTTGCCTTGTCCTTTAGCTTGGCACTCTTTACGAGTTTCACTGTTAATACAGGTGTCCTCGTATCTGTGTATATAATTCAGTTGCTCCATAACGCCTACGTACCGATTTCCTATTACAATAGAACAATGACACTACAGGACGAATATCTGCAGTAGCATCTGACAGCCCATCGCTCAATCGATTTTGTCACGATTAGGTTGAAATAAGCTATCAACTTTTGAATTCTCAATGCTCACTTTTCATGTATATTGCCTTTTTGCGTGCTACACAACTTCTTCATTGAATCAGTATACTCGGACCATAAAGCACCTGCGAACTGTATTTAAGTACAGTTGCTCACAAGGATTGATATCTACAAACACTTGACGATAGTCTTTTCTTCAAATATGTCCAAATGCGCCAGTCCAACCTACAGAGCATTCTAAAAACTGACCGTTTAAGTTAAAGTTTACTTGCAACTACTAATGTCTCTTGAAAATTGCTGTACCGATTTTATTATAGCTTTAAGTTTGGAATAACACAGTCCTTTACTGCGCAAATTAGCAAAACTTGGAGATCCTTTGCAATACGAATTTATAACACTTTTCCGTCGCTTTTGTTCAGGATACCTAAACTCCTGCTGATTGTGTGCTCAGCTCATGCTAGTGAGCAGATATCCCATCGAGCTTGCTGTAGAGCGATTTTAGTCCAAAGGAAATGTAGCATATTCCCGTTGCAGATGCCCCTAATTCTCTGATCCCTTCAAGTGTGTCCTCACACTCAGAATCTCTGTTTTTATCACGTGCTTGCTGGCAAAACGTTGGCCTCTTCTGCAAATGAATTGATTTTTCTTTTTGTTGACAGGGACAAGTATTGTCAGTGATGGTGTGGTGGTCACAGCACCGACGCGAATTAACCAGCGCGCTGTGTCTTGATTGTGTTTGTATCCGTGATCCTCTATTGTTCACTGTGATTTGGTTGACTTGGCTACCCATGGGGACCTTAGTAACGACATGGGACAGATGTTTAATTCTCAGAGTGCTGTGGATAGGAAATCTGATACAGAAGTAACCATGACTGCCGGGCGAGGTTTATTATTCCCGTGCGTTGATACAGTTAGGGGAGTATGTTGACTAGCGCTGCCACATTTTCCTCCTGCACAAACCCTTAACAGGATTTGTGATTTTGTGTCAGTAGCATTTGCTTTCGTTTGCTCTGCTTTTTTGTAAATATGTGTCATCCCAAATAGACAAACCAACAGACACGTTTAATCCATTGCGGATTTTTTCATTTAATACTACACTGTCGGTCATTTACGA